CACAGTGAAGAAAAGCAAGATTATATATGAGCGATGACAATGGTAGGGAATTCGCTTTAAGCTCGAATTCTTCATTTCCAATAACATGTATATCTATTATTTCACAGTTATTCATAATCATCGTAAATGATATACAATGTTATCATTGTTATTGAAAGTTAATATTAATTTCCTCTACTCATATTAGATAATTTGCCTTTCAAACTTTGATGGATGGTTTTATTTCATTTTGAGTTAAAGCAATAGTAGTAGTAGTAGTAGACTTTATTGGATAACTTGATTAGCACAGGGCTAATCTTCCTCAAGGTCCAATAACGCATTCAAATTTTAACATGATTTATTTTATAGCCCAAATTGGATGCTAGTTTTTTAGCCTACGGTCATCCACACAAAAGTCTAGTATCAAATGTCAAACATTGACATATACCTATAAGCTGGATACGCAAAGGAAATGTGCCACGATATGATAATTTTAGTGCTATTTTATTTAATTTTGTTTTCTTTTCGACTCTTACTTATTTCGAACTCGCAATGATCTCCGGAGAGTCCTACTTCACAGACACAAACTAATTGTCCTTCGATGGTTGAGCAGGTCCCGCCATGTTGGCAGTAGTTCTCCTGGCAAATATCAACAAACCCCTCACAGGTCGGTCCGGTAAAGCCATCCCTGCACGCACAGGTGAATTCATTCGGCAGATTGGTGCACGTGCCCTCGTATTTACATGGGTTGCTGACACATTCATCAAAGGCTGCAAAATTAGAATACATCATATTGATAACTTTATACTGATAGGTATTTTAAAGTTAATGTATATCTTGTATAGCATGTGATTAATATCAAGACAGGCATGGTCATGAGTAGCTTAATTTACTATATTTTAATAGGAGGTGGATGATGATAACATTCTTGATAATTAAGTTGCGTTGCAAAAGGAGGAGGAAAAAGGTGAACGATGCGCCCATAAAAAGGAGGAAGAAAAAAAGAAAGAAGAAGATGAAAGAATAATGATGACTAGCAACAAAGCAATATGTTTATCTTTGTACCTTTCATGTGATATTTTTCATTTGACCGTTAAACCTATAATAAAAAGGTTCATTGGTATTTTAGTACAAAAAACGGGTAAAGTTTAATAGTTTCAATATAAAAGAAAAACTACTGAAAATTTAATCATATAAACTGCATGTTGAGCAAACAATCTGTCATATAAAAAAAAAACTAATCATTAGTAATGGTTCTCCCGTTCTGGTAAAGACCTAATCAAGATGGTCATGATCATTTTAGATCCAAAATTTGAACTCTGAGAAAATAACATTCCCTTTATTGCATAGCGTATTACGTCCCTGTGCGGTTTTCCAAACAGATTTGGAAATTATCATCTGCATCTGCTATCGTTACACAAAGTACAGTATAGGGACTAATCCTACCAGGTACCCACTACTACACCTCGGTCGAGTGTGGCAAAGGTAAATTAATGTCTTGTCAATCAAAGTTCGTGAGTGATGTCACTTTATGCCTCGCGGTCTATTTTACGTAGTCTTTCTGGGTAATTCAACTACGGACAGGGTAAAATAGTAATCAACTATTTGTTTCTTCAGGAAAAAGGGACGTGTACAGTAAATTCAACTAGTATTATTAATAGTATTGTTGCTGTTATTGTCATTTTAATGATTATGTTTATTTTATCATGAAAACCGTTATTATCATTATTTTAAGTTATTACTATTAGTGTTATTATTTCTCACTCTCTCTTCGTTTTAACTACCATTACTGTTGTCATTTTACTTACAGTCACAGACGGACGGAGATGTTAATAGCAGTTCATCGGACTCAGTGACTTGAACTACGAATTCAGTCCAGGATATGAGGTCACCAAAATATCCACTTATGCAATTTGTGGACAGTTCAGATTTGATGTCATCACTCACTTCTGTACTCCAAAGATTGTAGCTACTTACGAACACCACTTCTGAAGAAAAAAAGGAGGATAAAGGAAAAAGAAGAAAGGAAAAATAACAAGAAGGAAAAGAGGATGAAGAATGAGAAAAAGTAGTAGTCAAAGAAGAAGATGACCACAAATGAGTGAGGATATGGAAAAGTCAGTCGAATTACAAAAGGTCCGAAAGCATATAATTATAAGGAAGCCACAATACATAGAATTCATCTCCTCTCATACCGTACAATAATCTGAAAGTAATATTGAACGCTTTATAATAACAATAAAACATCCTGGCCTCATAAAACGCCTAAAACATCCAATAAATCTCAACAGTTTGCATAAATATATCATGTTGTATATAGTTTTGCTTATATATTAAAGGGATCCGGTAACTTTGTCTCAGATTCTGAAACAAAATCCTGGATTTAGCACATGCTGCAATGATAGTTATACACCTTTAGTTCAGTCAGGAACCCATGACTTTTACAAGCCGATCGCCTGTCTGATAATCAAGAAATCTATGATTGGAAATCGAAACCAAATTTCATGTTTTCCTAACGGTTTTCATAACACTACAGTCTATTAGGTAAAACGATTATGGTACAACCGGTCGCTCAAAGATTTTTAATTTTTTGAGGCACTTCTGGATCATTTTGAAGCGCACTTTTTAGGGCTTCAATATTACACCATATCACAGACACTGATAACATGTGGGGCCGTGCGTCTCAGATTTAACATTGTTAAAGGACGCCTTTAATGTTCTGTTAAAATCAAGAAAGTTTGGAAGAGTCGTATTATGTGCGAGTTGTGGTTGTTAAGAAACACGCCTTTAACAAAATGTATGAGCTTGTAAAGTCCTCATACCCTGCGTTTCCATTTGCGATGCCCCGACTGATAATATATCCTCACGCATTATAGAAGCTAGATGACTTCCACTTCCTAGAAGACTAGCATTAACTCGAAACTCCCATTTCCAGTGGCTTCCAAGTCCCATGTAAAGAATAAGTGATGCCACACATTGTCGCAGAGATTTGAATGTGTATCAATGAGTAGGCTGTATGAAACACACAAGGAAAAAAACAACATTTTTTTGCAGTGTATCATAAGCGAGGTAAACAAGAATTACAGCTAAGTACGTACATCATACTTATTGTTAAAATGATAGGTGGAGATAAGTTTATCCACTGGTATTTTTTACAGAAAAATGAAGCAAGTAATTATGCTTGAGTACATTATTTATGAAAGAAAATGACTGTTGATTATATGGATAATTTAGGACTCACTTCAGGAGTTTTTAATCCGCAAGGAAAACAGACCCTGTATAACTCTCAAGTAGTAAAGTTGCGTCAGAATGATACATCACACCATAAATCACATTCATTTCGGGAACGGTTTACGTTTGGCTCAATGATAAAGTTAAATAGAGACGACACATTTTTACAGAAATATTTAACTCATTTAGGAACAACTAGGCTGCTCTAAGCATCCCCTCCAACCCCCCCCCCCCCCACACGAAAACTATTCCCGATCATATACTCCGTAAAACACTTCAGAGGACAAGAACCCCAAGGGAAATTATAACCAGGACAACTCCCCTGGTAAATACACTTCCTCAGAAAATTACTATCCCTATCCCTATATCAGAAAATCCGTAAGTAGCAGGTGGAGGGTTAAGTGCGCCAGATTTGTGGATATCTGGTTGGTGGTTTAGGTCAAGGAAGGTGTCGAGTAGACATGGTAGGTATTGGATACTTTTTTTAACCAACAATTCTTAGTACGGGATAAAGATACCTTTCCATTACTACCCTTAATGAGCAAGGGTTTTCAATCGCCATTAACAGAATAGCTGAAGCTGTCTTAAGATGAAAAAGGCTGAAAGATACTGGCGAGGAGCTTGTCCGTAACCATAGTGATAATGTAAGCAGTTGTGGTTGTACACTGGAAAATATATCACTACGCACAAGAAGAGGACGACTCTGAACAAAGATGAAATCATAATTGGACGGAAGAACTGTTCCGGAAAAGAGAAGAGAATCAGGGAAGAATTATTATCGGCGTTAGTTTTACCGGTTTATTCACGATATCACTGGTAACAGTACAAATTGTTAACAAACGATTCATGTTTAATCTTTTTTTTTTACATTCTTCAATTATCTTCAACAATAAATATCTGTTTTTCCGTTGATGACCAAAATCAAACACCGTATGGCACATTAACATGGTCGAGGTGTAGACTACTTTCCTGTCCTGTATTGCCATTCCATAAAATTATCAAAATTCCATGGAATAGCATGAAATACTACAAAATCTGACAATGTCATACATATACAAAATCTATTGGACATGCGCAATAGAAGAATGTCAAAGAAACAGTTTGAAAACAATGATGTTTGATATTTACCATTCTCACAAAGTTTCCCAGTAAATCCTGGTGCACACGTACATGTAAAGCTGTTTAGTCCATCCAGGCAGTAAGCCCCGTTGTGACAAGGATCCCTGGCACAATCGTCTATGTTGGTTTCACACATGTCTCCGCTATTCGACAAATTTCAAATTCTCATTTTATAATTCAATAATTAGCATCTTAAATGATTAATATATACTTTTCCCAACAGCATTTAACCCAAAAATGCAATTTCATTTTCAAGAATAATTCATTTTTGTATACCTTTTGTGGTTCAATTCCTAGCGCAGGTTGAATTGGTTATTTTTTCGTATATACAAATTGTAAGTTTTCGATTAATCACTCAATAATTCGCAGCTAAAATGATTTATACATACTGTTCCCAACAGCTTTTAACCAAAAAATAAATTGTCATTTCATTTTCAAGTATACTTCACTTTCGAAATCCTTTTGTGGTTCGATTCCCAGCGCAGGTTGAATTGATTTTTTACCCGGATAGACAGTAATCTGTGATATAACTAGTATTTAGTTAAGATAATTACGCGTGTAACAAGTAATTGACATGATGAAATACTTTATTACAGGTATTTCATGATATTGGTGATGTCTTATTTACAAGAATGGCGGAGAGTAAGACAGTGACAAGTTCCTCTGAAGAATTACCTATAGCCAAGTAAACATTCACATGTAAAGAATCCTTCATGATCTGTACACGTTCCTCCGTGTTCGCATGGTGTAGACTCGCATTCATTGATGTTGACATGACACAAAGTTCCATCAAACCCTGGAATGTTTGTATATTGAGAGATTGAAACACGTATCATGGAGCTTTATTTCAGTTAAACGAAATGAAACTGAATCATTTATGTAGGCCCATATTTCCCGAAAAGAATAGGAGTGGGCTGAAAAATAAGGAGACAGAATTAATTACGGTAATGGATTTCTTCAGTTGCCAGCATTCGGACGAAGCTTGTATTGCCCATGTTAAATTATTTCTGAAAATCATTATCAATGGGTTAAACTTAGGTACGAGTGGCGGATGCCGGGGTGAGTGGCTAACAGTTTATACACACTGGTAGTGATTGACTACTTTGTTTATTTGTGTAGTAAATTTATCACATAGGTGCCCAAGGTAGGATAATTTTGATACGCCACTAAAGACTTAACTTCGAATTGAGCAGGGGCCCAGTCACGAGTTGTTAAATAATACAAATATCCGACCTTCAAGAAAGAAGGAAAGAAGCTATATATTGTGTAGTATCCATACACTTTACAGCCTCTTCAAGCTTCTAGAAGGATATTAATGATTGGTTTATTTGCTTTAATCACAAAAAAATGCAGCCCGAAAGTTGAAACTGTTTATTTTACATTTAGTTTGAACTGAATGAGAACTAACCGCAAATTATAACTTAAGTTATTCTGAGAGATTATGTAAATGTAACTTTTACCTTCTCGGCTATGATTTTCCTCATTAAAAAGTAAAGGTTTCATTATTTAGTTAAAAAGTATTTTCAAGAAAATGGCTGCGCCCATGTCATGCTAAAAAGCATTACATCATGTCAAGAAATCTTCATTTATATATCTCTTGTACATGTTCGTACGATTTCTTGTACTTTAAAGATAAAGACCAGTTATGGTCATGCGATTGCATTGTGAAAGAAACGTTGAGGAATCGATCAGAAAAGGTTAATCATCTAGCAAACAAGTATTGGTGTTTACTGCAAGGTTCTGGAATCATCAAAATGATAAGAATTTTGGCCCAGTCTTCGTAAAGTTACAAGCACTGTACACAGAAAGATGTATATGGGACTATACGCACACGTGCGCGACACGTGCGTTTATCTCTCACATACCCCATTCACAGTGGCCTCAAACACCGCGACAGCAGCGGGACTGTCCCGCTGCTGTCGCGGTGTTGTCTTCAGTGTGAAGGCTCGGACCCGTTATAAACTATCGCGGGATAACACCGCCTCGCGATAACGCCGCGACAAACTATCGCTAGGTTCGCCTAGCTACAGCAGCGGGACAGTCCCGCTGCTGTCGCGGTGTTTACTCAGTGTGAAGGCTCTCCGCTATAACACCGCGACAAACACGTGTGATTTGTTTACTTACCTATCACTGACCTCTTTTCTCCAGCAATGGGGAACATAAAGTGAAATAGAAATAAAGTAACCAGTGGATTCAAATTGATTTTATTATTATGTAGATATTATAATTATCCAAATAAAAATATTTCACACTTCAAAAAATTAAAATATTCTGACTGGAAGCAATAAAAATGCTAGTTTTTTAAAAAGTAATATGATCGAGGATACAAAAAGCAACTTGACATGTTTACCCTAAAACCCCGCGCTGAAGTATTTCCGGTCATATCGGGGTCACTCGCGGGTCATGAGCCATGCATACACGTGTTTGTTACGGAGGTAATAAAAATCACCCGCTGCAGCGTGAATGGGTACATGATATTTATCCCGCTGCTGCAGCGGGATAACTTTTCTACTGTGAATGCATTTGTAGCGGTGTTATGGCGGTGTCGCCGCTCCGCTACAACGCCGCTACAAATTTCAAAACCACTGTGAATGGGGTAACATACTAATAGATAAACTAATTTACCAAATATATCAATTAGTATGCGGTTTCCCAGGAAAATTGTTATCATCATGTATTAGTCAAAACATATTCTTTCACATGATTGGTAATAAGAGCTTCCATTTCATTGTTTTGAAATTGGCAGGAATTCATCTCGTTTTCAGAAAAAATACACTTTTTTTGGGGGGGGGTAGTTTTCCTTAAATGTAATGCATCTAAAATAATCACTAAGGCTCAAGTTATCTTCTATTCGGAGCAAAGGAGGATTAGACGTCAATTTGTTATGAAAAAAGTTCCCTCCGGCTCTTGTAGATAATGTAAGGAATGTATTATAGTGTTATTGAGGCAACCTCCGTCTATGGGTCTTCGTTACAAAACATATATCAACAGTAAATGAGTATTAGTAGACTTTTAAGCTTGATCAGGTTAAAATATATGTAAGTACCTTCTGGACAATCACAAATAAAGCCATCGACAAGATCAATGCAAACACCATTATTCTCGCACTGGTTTGGTGTGCATTCGTCATAATTCTCATCACAGAGGACACCATCGTATCCTGGTGGACAGCGACAAACATATCCATTCACCTTAGAAGCAAGGGATGAACAGAGAAATGAAATACATGCATATGGAGAAAAGAATGAACTATGGACTGGGGGAAGAATTTTAGAATTCTAATGCTTAATAATATTGAGCGAAACGGCCCTAATGTGGGTAGCTACGGTCACAAAGGTTCGAACGAACGATGCGTAGGTACGAATCTCCCTGTTTTTCCATTGTCTTTCCGAATTTCCATTGTCTGAAAATCGTTCATACGGCGTTCGTAGCAGTTCGTAATGGCATTTGTGACCAAAGCTTAATCCAGTCCTCACTGGAACCCTTTAATGATTTTTTATGTTTAACACAATGAATCACAATATGCTACAATAAATTCAGTAATGACAATAATTTTGGAGCAGTGCGGTGAATGCTCTTGACCAGGCGCGGACGCAGTGAGGGGAGGGGGGTGGGGTGGGGGTTAAACCTCCACCCCCTTTGGTATTTTTATGTGTGTATTTTGAAGGAACCCCCCTTTGTTTTTTGTTTTTGTTTTTTTTTAATTAAAAAAAAAAAAAAATTATACCAATGGCTGACCTAAAAAAGTTGACCTTACCCCCCCCTCCCCAAAAGGAGCAAAATGTCAAATTTTGAAATTTCGAGACCAAAAAAAAGAACCCCCCCCCCGGCTTATTCAGCGGCTGGCTGAGTCGTTGCGAAATTTTCGGCCTGATTTAAAAATGTTAACCCCCCCCCCCCCCTTGAAAAAAATCCTGCTCTCGAGGTTACCTAGTTCGATCCTTGCTCGGTGTTTACATCCTCGGGAAAGGTGCCTATATACTCCCTATCACCCCAGGTGCAATGCTGGGGTTATGGTAATTGCAGGGCCCAAAAGAAGAGCAGTATTAATACTGATTATTATTAATACTAATTTGGCTACCCTGGGTATTTATAACACAATGATTATCAATTCTGATATAAATAATTGAAAGAGATTGATGGAAAATAGTTAAAACCAACCCCACTGTGAATTGAGACCCCGTCTCCAAACTAAGTAAGATGAAAGATTTGATAGCTCAGTATCAAAGGAATTGTTAGTGCCAATCGAGTAGAAATATTTTATAAATTGAGATGGTAGGATGTCAAGAATCAGTTGGAATAACATTGTAAAGTTTTGCCGTATCAGAATGACTATACTCGCAGGTGAAGGTATAGGAGTTTAAAGGTACTATGTCCTATTTGCAGGCCAAAATATGAAAAGGTTAAATTCCAACAGCATTCGTAAGACAATTCTAATACAGAACTTCCCTCAAACCGAAAGGGCTTGAAAATGGCTTTTAGTAGGACTCGAAATAAACTTAAGTGATTGCAATCACCTAATTAATAGTTTTATTTTCAGACCTTTTACCGAACGGACGTACGTTTTATGCTGCACAGAGATTCAATCAGTTTAATTTTGGCCATTACAAGTAGTGGGTTATTGATGTAGACAAATGCTCATGTACCTGTTACAGCTCATTTTATCTATGTTACCAAAGAAAAAAAAAAGATGTCCGTCAGTCATTCAATAGTGTCTGATAGTGAGGTCCTTGCATAATTTGAATACTAGGACACTGCTAATGTTTAAATTTCACAGATAGGACATACATGACATATTCATAATTCCTGCAAAGTTCTCATAATTTGATGTTGGTTGCAAACGGGACATCGTATCTTTAAATCAAGAAAAGCCCTCCGTTTATCTTTAGTTCTCATGTAAAGTTACAATTCTCTGGCCGATGGAGGGAATCCTAATTTATTTAATTCGTTTCAAAAGTAGATATTGAAGTTTTTCGGAGAGTGGTCAATTTGATGTCAACTGCCATTCAGCAGCGTTATATAGAAAATATCATATACGGATATTTTTAGATAGTGTATTACCAGGTTTTTTAGTGAGCAGTGTGAAATACATCCCATCAGACAAAGTGGTAACAATGTCAAAATACTCGTAGTGAAATATGCCTCTGCATGACTTGTAATAAATATATTGTGGCCTTTGTAATTCATATGGACTCTACCTCACTTACCTTATCAATGCATGTTGCTTCATTCAGGCACTGATTACTGATGCACTCGTCGATGTTCTCTTCACAAAGGGTCCCCGTGAATCCCGCCAAGCAATCACATGTGTACTCCGCACTGTCACTTCTACCCGAGCACGTGGCACCGTTCATACAGGGATTCGCCGGATAGCACTGCGGGGCCTCTATCACCTGGCAGGTAGTCCCGATAAATCCTGGAGCACAGATGCATCTGAAAGCATTCACTATATCCAGGCAGGTCGCTCCATTCTTACAGGGCTGCTGCATGCAGTCATCGATATCGGTCTTAGAGAAAGTGACGAAGAATATGGAAATGGCTCATAAAATAATTTCGATCTGTGTTACGAAATGAATATGTTTTACAACATAAAACATCATAATGATCCTTACAGAAATGTTGGTATTTTATGTTTTCCAACTTGATAATAATTATCTGCTGCTGATTGAAGACATTGGTGAGAGATTGCTGATCAACGAGCTCAACAGCACAGAAGGAGAACCAAAGTCTAAAGTAGCTGTATACTCACACTTCAATTGAGGAACGAGTATATAATACCCCATATAATATCGTACTGCCAAACCGTATATACACTTAAAGTACCTCGCAAAACACCCCTTCGTATCCAAGCAAGCATTCGCAAGAGAAGTCACCGGGAAGATTGACACAAATCGCGTTATTCTGGCAGAGTGAGGATGCACACTCATTAATATCAACCTCACAGTGGGTGCCACTAAAACCAGCCTTGCAGATACATGAATAACCATTACGTTCATCCACACACTCGTCATAATTGAAACAGGGAAAGCTGCTGCATTCATTGATGTCTGTTTCGCAGTTGTCACCAGTAAAACCTTCAGGACAATAACACCTAAAAAAAGAGTTTGAAAAAGACAAAATATGGTAGGAAGTAACGGTTAAAATGTCCCGATTTTGAAGCGCAGACATGTACATCACATTATGATACAACGATTTTATAAGGCGCTTCCAAACTGCACTGGAAGTTATTACGCCAGCTAGATACATTTATATACAGTACCCATTATCCATATACAATGCTTTGGAAGCAATAATGCCCCCACATCATAAGAAGTTTCCATTTGCCTCCTGGATCGAGAGAGTTGAATGTGTATAAAATGCTTCTATCATGACATACGAAGGTTAATTTGAGCCCCCACCCCTGTTCAATGTAAACATTTTAAAGTGATAAATTTACAAATAATGAAGGCCATCGTGCCATAAACAACATAGATTTGCCGAACATCGTTAGAAAACCGGTGCCTACAATGTAATTGTTATAATTTCAGAATATTAAACAAAATGTAACTTCATAATGTATCCGTCTCTCCTACATGTAACTACATGTAAAAACTCCTTGCTAAATTGGTTTTGCAGAGTTTTATTCATATCTGTATACCGTCTCATTTGACGCCTGACGAATTAAAATGAATTTTAAACAACAATTTTGATTTGTAAATTTATCTTCGTACAAGAAATGAACTGTATGTACAAATTAATGCAAAGCCCAAAGTACATTACCTGTGTGAGCCAGGTGCTAAATGTGAACAGGTTCCTCCATTGTCACATGGTGAATCAAGGCAAGGATAGATGATCTGTTCACATTGGGAGCCGGTGTATCCCGTCAGGCACATGCAGCGGTAGAACGACACCTCATCAATACATGTTCCATTGTTAAAACACGGCCTGAAATTGTTATTGAAATTACAAATTACCACAAAGGGCCACATATAAACAGAGGTCAAATACAAAAACGCATTTACTCTGATGGCGATATGAAATAGATCCTACGTTTATTTTGTATATGGCATTGAATGAAAATCTTGTGAAATGCAGAGTATTGTACCGACACCACTTAAGATTTACTTAAACTTCCATCTACTATTCACAATGTCCTGGTGAGTTTACAGTCATGTCCCATAATGCATCACCAACTAGATGAAGCGCGCACGACGATGTTTGGGTACAGAAACTGGAAATGTCCTATGTACGCCTTCACCAAAAGATGATGCAATTGAAAATACTTTATAGCTGTGGTAGCGATGTCGTTATAAAAAACTTCCTTTAAACCTCGAGTATATGAACTATAAATTGTAACAGCCATATTTTTGTTTATTCATAATCAAATGTATATTCACTGTTAGGATTACACAAATAAAAAATAGGCCAAAGATAGTGTTCTTTATAATCATTTATTACAGAAAAGATGAGTAACGGGCATTTTTAGAGATAAAATATGCCAATACAATAAAACCTCAAAAGTGTTAAGATTTTGAAGAGCAAAATCCTTATTTTTTGCACAGAATATCACAACGAGGTCAATATCGTATACGACTGTAAAACTGTTGGAAGAAAGTACTAACATTGAGTTGCATTCATCTATGTTGACTTCACAGTAGTCACCGATAAACCCTGGAGGACATTGGCAATGAAGAACATTGAGATTCTCCTGACAAGTACCTCCGTTGTAACATGGTTCAGAAGAACAAAGCTTAACCTCTATCCCACATTCAACTCCTAAGAAAAACGAGAAAAAAACAAAGACATTTTAAAATGTGTCAATATTCAGATAAAGATCTTTAAATAATGGTGGATTTTCCTCCTTTTTTGATATTCATAACTTTATCATTGTTGCAGGAGGATGCTGAGGATATCCTGGAAGGTTCATAAATCAAATGATTTTGTTAAGAACAAAATTGGAGCGAAGGTCACCCTATACCAGAAAAAAAGATGAGAACAAGTTGCAGTATTTTGGACACATTTTCTAAGGTCATGTTAAGGGTCAACGAAAACGTAGTAAGCCCAAAGTTCGATGGGCTAACGGAACAAAAGAGTTTACTGGCATGAACATCTGCACAGCTCATCGCGATGTCCAGGATAGAAGTGGTTGGAACGTCATCATCAATAGGGTCAGTCATGGCTTGTAGGACGGCGACTACGACGATTATCTCGTACAATTCTCTTAGTATACAAGTTTGTTTCTGCGAAATTGTTTCTACGCTCCTATGCCAAGTTTCATTTAAGGTTTAACTTCCTCTATAATTTCCAAAGCGCAAACAATTTCAAAAAATACACAAACATAAACCAAGACACAAAATCTACAGGGACAAAAGAATCACAAATTTAACTGTCTTGTTCATGTTCAAGACCTTTTTGACAGGTAAATGTAACTAATCTTCATATATGTTACATCTCTTAGTTCGCTTCATAATCTTCATGATAAACACAAGCATGTACGTGGAACAATAAATAGTTGTGATTTTACTGTGTCTATCTGTATGAGAGTAAAGTTTAAACATATAGGACCACAACGATAAAATAAGGATATCTTGAGTTTCTTCAAATCCGGAAAGTATTCCACTTTTCCTTAGTTAGTCAGTTACTGCACAGGAACTACTCCTCAGAATAAAACTATATAATAACCTTTGTAGCCTGCAGGGCAAATACAAACATAGCTATCTTCCACATTACTGCAAGTGCCTCCATTGTCACAGGGGTTTTCCACACAGAAGTTCGTTTTCACTGCACAGTTAGGTCCTTCCCAGCCATCTGCGCAGTTGCATTCATAAGAGGCGATCTTGTCGATGCATGTTCCGTTGGCACCGCAAGGCTCTGACAAGCATTCGTTGATATCATCTTCGCAGAAAGACCCTGGTATGAAAATTGAATTAATATCTGTGTGTAATTTCGAAGTTTTTAAATCATTAATATTCCATCTTGGGTTTGCTCTGTGTGTCTGTCGTATATGCGTTTCTGTAATTTTCACACGAGGAACCTGATGTAAATTAATAATTGACTTAACCGTTTACTGTGAAACTCGGGTACAGCAGAGCATTTATTATTCCCCGTCAAGAGCCAACCGTCTTAAACCAAACAAACAAGATATGGAACTCGTTGATATGAATTTGGAGACGGGTGTAACAAAGTACATCCAATTTTAATGACATCCTTGGTTACCGGACACGAACCCTACTTACCTTACCATAAATCACTTGTAAAATAATAAGACGTAGATGCCCGTTAATTTTAAGAATGCATGTACACCCGTTGTCATTTACTTTGGTTTACCTGTGTAACCTGGTGTGCATAGACATAGCGAGTGCCCATTCGGATCGGTACTGCACGATGCATCGTTGGAACATGGACCAGACAAGCATGCATCTATGACAATCTCACAACTTTGACCTACAAATCCTGCACGACATTCGCAGCTGAACTCGTTTCCCTCTAAGTTTGTGCAGTTGCCACCATGCTGGCACGGGTCGTCATCGCAAATAGTTTTGTTTTTCTCGCAGAATATGCCGGCATAATGAGACGTACACAAACAGGCCCAATATGTACCGAAGTCTATGCATGTGGCGTTGTTTTTACATGCAACATCTTCACACAGATCTTTGTCGATCTCGCATCTATCCCCTTTGTAACCGTTCGGACAATCGCATGTGTAGCTGGCCACTTCATCAGTACACGACCCTCCATTGAGACAAGGGTCACTGTTGCATTCATTGATGTCGCGAGAGCAGTTTGTGTTGGAATAACCTGGGGTGCAAATGCACTTGTAACCGACCACGTCACCAGGAACACTGTCACAAGTCGCTCCATTCTGGCAGGGATTCGGAGAACAGGCGTTGATTTCATACTCGCAGTTCTGCCCGTGAAACTCATCAGTACATCGGCATTCATAGGAACCAGCATAGTTTACACAGGTACCGTTGTTCTGACACGGTGTCAACAGACATTCATCGAGGTCTAGGTCGCATCCATCCCCTGTAGAAAGCAATAACAATAAATACATCAACCGTTTTATTGACATTCGCAACAGCAAAAAATCTTAGGTAATTATTCACTGGATCCACAAGAAACTGAAGAGAGAGTGTCATTTAGTATTCAATTACATTCTGCGGCCAATAATGTGTCCGACAGTCTGTGACTAAATTCATATCCGACTCGATTAATGTTATGCCCAATAAGTAGCTAGTTTCTACTACAAAATAAAACATAACAAATCTGACTTGAGAATTACCATTATCGTAAGTTTCGATCATAGCCCCATAATATGCATTTTCACTTTGTTTTTTCATAATTTAGGTCGGCGTTTTTTTATACACTTGTAAGACAACTATGTGTCTTATTTTCTCGCTCGCTTCGGTCCCTTACAACATTTTAAAACACTATAATTTCAGGCAGCGAAGTGCCTAATTGCTTCCATTTATATTGTTTCTTGTCTTCCCCTAAGTCGACAATTTTTGATTACCTTCGTATCCCGGCGCACACTGACATGCATAGGAGTTAATATTATCCTTGCAAGTTGCTCCATTAAGGCAAGGGTTAGAGCCACATTCATCGATGTTTTCTTCGCAGTTTTCCCCAGTAAAACCTGGAACACATAGACAGGAGTAACTCTCCAATCTATCCAGACAGGTAGCGTTGTTCTGGCATGGTTGACTGTTGCATTCGTCAATATCTAGAAGAAACCATATATTATACTTTATAGTTTACATGTTGGCTTGTCTTAAATTGAAATGATGGGTCGAAAGTCCGGTTTGTAATGCATTTATTTAGCCAGGATTTACAGAAGAAACCATACAAATATCATTTGAATAAATATTCAAATTTTGTAGCAATTTATTCGGGTAAAGATAATAAAAGAAAGAAAGGATCTGGGGAAATAGAATGATTAGGGGATACATTGAAAGAGAAATAGGAGTGGTTGGAAGTTAAGATCAGCTTATCAATCCGAATCATATTGGCGAATATGTCATTACCATGTTTCTTAATTGGGTTCATATCTCAAAAATATCACAGGTAAGAAACTTCTCAGTACCATTTCTCTCGATGCTCGACATATTTCATCTGCAGAGTGTGGATACTGTTATTTCTTCAAAAATGAAACAGACTAACTAACGAAAGAACAAACAAACTTCTACTGTGTAAAGTTACGGAATGAATTTAAGCTGTCATCCAACTCTGGGTGGGAGGCTTTGTGCCCTTCTGAACTGGTAAAAAATGGCCCTGATAGTTATATGTATTTTTAAGGTGTTTCCAGCTGTCCAACATGTTTTAAAGAACCGAGGCAAAGAGAAATTAGTATTACAAATAAGACGAAAGTTATCATTTAAAAATTAAGTACTAACAACATCTGGGCCCTGTTTCATTAAACTTGTTATCAATAACAATTGCTAAATTTCCTCTCAGCCAATCTACTGCTACGATTTCAGTAGCTTTCATTTCCTTTCTTTTTTGCCACAAGAGTAATGGCCTTCTTTGCAGTCATACACACCTAGACACTGTATACTCAAAATGGCACCATCTGTAAGAGTGGTTTTATTTCCGGGACAGCCTATACAGAATGTCATTTGTCGGGACGGTTGGTAGCTTCCCATTGGACATCTAACACAGGGTGCAACACCTGACTCCGAATAATGTCCTGGCTCACAGGCGGCTATGGAATTTGACAAAGGAAGCGTTAGATGTAATATTGAGTTCTGGTAATGACAAATTATAGTTATCACACAACCAACCGAAACATACACCCCGAAATGTTACATTAAACATTGTGGTTGAAAAGATTGCTAATTTATCAGCAGCGAAAGATTAAAACAAATAATAGCTAGTAGCGTCGACAAACATGCATGATACGTAGCATATTTTCACACAGGTTTTCGCCAGTTTTTATACTGGAGTTGTAGGATAAACAATTAAGATCTACTTTGTCTGTGTGCCAGTCTCTCTCGAATTCAACATGGTTATAGCAATGATAAAAAGATGCCGTGTATCTTATTTAGAAAATGAGCCCGATCTAGTATTTTCAGATTTTACAAACGTATTTAAAAACAAAACTTAATCCCTTCGATTCACGAAGGTTGTCTAATGTTGTCTAACTTGAATATAATATACCATTTTCAAATTGATCCAAATTTAGACACGTTTACCTAGCGACGACCTATTGCTTTCAAATGTTATAAAAAATCAAATGTTATATAAAATCGTATCTCAACAGTCATATTTCAAATTGCATGCATTGGTTGATGCAAGATTTTACATACATTACGGCTTACCCCACCTAACAAAAGGTAGTGTATGCAATTTGCATTCTGACTATCGGAAGAAAATTTATCGGGATAGATGAAAGAAATATTTCTTAAAGAGGCACTTAATTACATTGAATTATACGTACAAGGCCTCTTAAATATCGTAACATATTTAAAGTATTTATTGAATAAAAATGTTTATATGACATTGTTATCAGAACTTTGTCAGAACTCCAAATTGTCTGCTAGTGCGGATTGAAAAAAAAGTGATATTACCTTTACACTGACCAGACGAGTTTGAACCTCTCTGGAGCGTTGTTGTTTCATTTGGGCATATGGCACAGTTAGTACTAAATGGCTTGCTTTCATAGAATCCGAAGTCACAGCGGTAACAAGGTGCAACGCCCGTGCTGGAAAATGTACCGGGTAAACATTTATCTGTAGGAGTAAAAGAAATTTATTACAAGTTAAATTGAAACACCCAATGAAACGTAAAGGCGTTGCTATTCTGAATAGCAGGAACTTGGGGTTTTACGTTAACGTTAAGATTATGTCATTTAGAATAACCTCACAGCGACATTTTAAACTTAAACTAGGTTTGACCAGAATCAATGAAATGAAAATTATCGAATTTGCTGTGATAACCATCTTAAGGTTAACAAAGCTGTAATTGACCATTGCCTCAGTAACTGGGGAATGATATGTTCACTTCCACTCCCTTGAAGCTTTTTATTTCTCATTAATTTTTTTTCTCATTTCTTTTCATTTATGATAATTCAATAACCAACCTTTGCACTCAGTGGCGTTTGTAGCGCCCTCGTCGGGTGTCCATTTATCTTCAGGACATGCCTTGCATGACATCATAGCTTGCTTATCCTGGAAAGTCCCTCGAGGACATGAAAGACATTCCTTTGTTGAGTTGCTATAGTAGGTCCCAGTGGTGCATGCAGCTGTGTGGAGAAATTCCATGTGATTGGAAAACCACTGAGAATGCAGTATCGCTACTACCCATCATATGACACATTAATCGAATTTCCGTACAACTAAGAAGGTTCAAAGGTTGTAGATCAGCAAAATAATTGTGGAATCGGCGAGACCACAGACGTCCAACAGTGGCCAAAGTTGTTAATATGTTATATTAAGGTTTGTCCAGTTACAGCGCGTTAAAAGAAAATCCGCCGCTGTTTTTTAAAGTGTTTTAAAGTTTTTTTTAAGCGCTGTGTTAGTACAGTGACCTGTGAACGTCATCAAAACAAAATAAAAGACAGCTATTGTGTCGCGTCATGTGTGGACGAGACTTAAGTTTAACTAGACCTACGGATATTTGTTTTCTTCTTCATACACTGTTTACAGGCTTTGCAATTTTTTTTGTCCGCCTGTATAAACATAAAACATAGTAACATGGACCCCAAATTAAAGCATTATCTATTTGAATTCACATCTTAGGTTTATAAGAGACAAAGGATTTGCATTCCTTTTGTCATTGTCATCTCATTATTAATCTTTTGCGATATCCCTTTTCTCTAGTTCTTCGCTCATGGGCCATCTACATTGTAATACGATTCCAAGAGGGTAAAAGGTGTAACGCCAAAACCAAGTGTAACTGGGTAACTGATAGACTCCTTGCATGTAATCAAGTGAAACTTATACGCGTTTTTTAAACCAAAATGATCAATTAATATTTGGCGGTATACTCACAACAATGCAGATCGCTGTTGTCAGAGATGTAACCACTGGGGCACTCAACCTGTGTATACCCATATTCCAAAGAATCATTTTGTACTTCAAGATCGAAACCCGGTACTGATGGTGGCGGGAAGGTGCCGTTATCGATATCCGCTTTTATGGCATCAACCATCTGGATCGTGACAATTTCGGCGTTGAGGGCGGCGTCTAAGTTGCTGAGGGAAGGATCCTGGTCCACATTAATGGCAAATTCCCAGTAGATCGCATATTCATACTGCTGCTGCTGAATATCGACGCTGGGTGTTTCTTTAACACCTCTTCGTGAGATCGTGTCTTCGACGTGCTTTTGTTGACTCCGCCTGCGTCTCCGCGAGCGGATTTCGCTGCGGGATGTGGACAAAATGGTTGGACCGCATGTAACCTCTACGTTTTGAATGGAACACTCCTGCGCATCTTTGCAAATATCCTTGTACTGGGAGTTTTTAATGATGATTATAAAGTTTTCGGCAATCTCCTTGTTGGTTGTTGCGTCTCCGCAGGTTCCTGCGTAGTACAGCAGCTCACTTGGTAAATTGCTTCGACCTGCACGTCTGACCTCTGCAAAAAGAAAATTGGTATCCACATGAAAAAGAGTGTTCCTATCTGACCAGGAATCATCAAGTTTGATTTTTTTTAAAGATAAAGCACAGGGTAATTCAAGATGATTGATTTGATAATCATGCAAAATTGGTATGGTACATCTAGCTGATCTGCCACAATCACTATCAATAATCAGTATTCCTCAGTAAGCATTGAATGTGATATGGACACAAAAAAGGTTAGGGTTATTCTAGTTGGGCCAACAGATACACTGTTCTACTTTTGGCATTCTAAAAAGTGTTTTGGGTCTGGAATTCATCATCATAGAACCTTCACTGTAAAGTTTAAGTTAGGAGACAATACGATCTATGACTAAATCCGCCGTAACACACTTATACATACGCACGCAGCCACCTACAAACGCACACACAAACACCAACAAACGCACTCACATTCATAAGTTGAGCCATAATGCATGGCCGTCCACAGGATATTTTTATTTTAGGGACCGGGGTAAAATGGAATAAATTATTGAAAAATTATTGGATTTTCAGTTTTTTATTTTATTTATGGAAACTGCCCTCTACCCTAGCCCCCGCTGCCCACAGTCATGGTTCAGTGACAAAGCAATGACCTCGTAACTGCGAGGCCTAAGGATCAAAAACCGTGTCGATGTGCTATAATAGTGCCCTTTTGTGGGTCATTAATCCTCATTACTGTCATTTATGACTTAAGGGTGTAGGTCCCCTACTTGATAAGCATAGTAGCATACACATGCTTTGGCAGTCACGCAAAACACACATTGGCAAATTATTATCAAATACAATCTGAGAATGTGTACTATTATCTAGATCTATTATTTTTAAATAATTTTTAAAATAATTCCATAAATTGGGGTAAAACAAAAATATTCCAACTTTATGAGCGACAGTGTATATTCTATGTATGGCTGTCAAAGGAGATTTATTAGAAACAGTGAAGTTTGATTGAAATGTTCATAACTTTAAGTTGCAGCGTTTGATCTTATTTTTTACCTGAGCAATCTGGTACATTGGCATGGGGAGACCACAGTCCCGACGTTCCGCATACATAGAGATCGGGTGGTTCATTAGCTGCACTTTGACGGGGTATGTCGTAGTTCTGGTTGCAAAACATAGTACAAAACCGGCCGTATACCCACGCGTCGCAGACTAGCGCTCCGTTCACTGGTGGGTCCAAGCTTCTACAGGGTACAGCTGATTGAATAAGATATGACAAAGGAACAAACGCAAATTAGACCAACGGGTAACGTTGAGGGAATCAAAATAATTTTTGTTCCAAGATTTTTTCGTCAAAGATATAGGTAAGCATATGAATAGGTTGAATCAATGTTATTTTTTACTTGATATACTCGCTAGTCAGACTGAACCCCTGAAAGATCTTGTCTGGTCCACGGAGGATCATTAAAAGGTATGATCTCAAAATCATAATCGGCTGCGTCGCACAGTGTTCACTTATACTAGCCCTGAATCTGAATGTTTTGTTTAAACTACATGGAGATCCTACAACCACGACATTTTAATAGGTGAATTTTCACATAGGATTAGAAAAAAACATAGGAAAAGAAAAACAAACGGGGGTCTGAAAACAATAAAACATTTGCCTCAAATTTGAGGGGATTATCTTACGCCATGCGTAAGTTTTTAAATCAAAATTCCACCTGAAACCGAGTTTCCACTCACGTTTGACATCAACGCTAAACTGGCAGATGGCAACCTTTCCGTTATCGGTATTGATAGCCGTATAGACAACAACTGCAGTGCCCCAAGGTAGCTCAGAGGGGTTGTCATAGTTACTGGTGATTTTTAGAGGGTCACCAGTCACCTCATAGAACACGGGCTCTTCCCAGTTTACTTCCGTCAGGCGTTGAGTCGCAGTGACGTTCATGTCAACAGGACAAAATTCAACGATAGGTACCAAGGAATCTACATTAATATAGGCAAATTAAGAGATATTTAGAACAAATGACGTAAAATTCCGGCAGGTGCATTTTGAGAGGCCTTTAAGGTTTTCTTAAGACTAAGTGCATTAGTCTGATCGATCCATTTAGAATGAAAGCAATTTACCATGATTTCATATTTTAGCAGAGCCATTATATTCACTGCGCTATTTAGCGTTCATATTCATCTTAAAGAAAAAACACGGTATATGCGAAATCAAATTATTAATAAGGAGGAAACAAAATAATAGTTGAAATGCATCGATTAGGTTAAAGAATTTGCACGCCAATTATTGAGTTACATAACTGAGCGCATTATCCAAATAAAGGGGTAAAAATTAAAATACCTTCAACGTAGATTTGAAAAGCACAGGACACGCTATTGTTGTTGTCGTCGTAGAACTCGTAAATACACAACGTGTCGATAGTAAAGTTGAATGGCGAAGACAGATTCTTAGGAGTTTTAACGATCTCCAGATTGCCGTCATAGTTGTCGGTTGCCACAGGGACATCGAAGGGGACTTCCACTCCCCAATTCTCAGTGCGCATTGCTGATATCGGCCCAGGACAGGAGAGGACGGTTGGAGAAATTCGATCTTTCCACACAACAAAAATACGAAGCAAAACATTTATTTTGAATTTTTGACATGCATGATTTATAAAACATGACATTCAGAATTACATTTTTAAATGTTTTTTTACTGATCGAAAGTAAAAATGTTATAGGAAACATGTAAAAGCGCGACATATTTTTACGATAACGTGTTCTTTGCAGATAAATGTCCTGGAAGAGGTATTTAGAGATTATTTATTTTAAATACTGACTGACGTCCGTATATTCTCATCCTCTAGTCTGCTCGTCCTCAGAGCCTTTAATTAGAAGGGTGTGGCTAACCCGATTTAGTTGGGCACAATTGTGCGCATACTCCTTTATTGGCCAAACACACAAAAACAAATATATAAGTCATGGTGTGACGAAGTGATCCAACTTTGCCAAAGCTCCGTTTGTTCTTACCGACGCACGCCATCTTTGTGTTTTCATTCACTGTCCTATCCCAGGTACCGTTACTGAGGCAACTAACAGGTGTATCAGCGCCCTCTAAGGTTAACCCATCGCTGCAGAAGAAGGAACAGGTTGTACCATAGTATAGCTTTCCCGTACCGGTGCACATCGTGGGGTAGACGTATACGTTATCAGGAATGGTTAGAGCTGAACATTGCGTTTCTAAAACAAAACAAAAAAGAGATGTTATAGTGGATGACGGAAAATAAAGTCTAACAAAATCATATTAAACTTACAAAGCAACTGACAATTAAAGACATCTTCCTTGGAATCCTTGCAGTCTTGGACTGAAACATACGATAACAGAGTGACGACAAAAATGAGAGAAAGAAGTGGAGGATATGGCACTACCAGGATTCCACCATTTTTACACTGGTAATAACCTTTTCATCCATGATGGACAAACAGTGCATAGCCGAGGAGGTAAGGAAGTAGCAATAGAGCTCAACATTCATAAAAAGATTTTATATGAAATTTACGGAGAATTGGTGAAAGTGGTGAAGAGCGAATGGCAAAGAGTGAACTGTGGGAAGGTTGACATAAAAGGAAACCAGAAAAGAAAAGAGGATAAGATAATATAATAATAAAAGGAAAGAAGGGGAGAAAGTGTGAGGCGATTATTGTGAGGGACATTAATTTCATCATTTCAATGCTGAATGGAAGGAAGGGATAAAATGGAAGATAAAGTTATTCATCACTGATAATATTTATTTACAAGAAATTATATAACATACTTATTTTGTGTTTCATAGCTATTGGATTCAATTGAAACAGCAAGATATGGAATTTAAGGAAGGAACTGTAACGAACTTATAGCCATTTCATAATAATGTTTCAAAGTGGATGTGCATTGGTTTCCGATTTTTACCAACTGAAGAAAGTTACCGTCACAGTATGGTATCGATTGGCGATCCCATTTCATCCTGATGTCATCATACTCGCAAGTAGTTTCAGATGGACCGACAAGGGTGTGTCCTACAGAGCAGGTCACAGAACAGATACTGCCCCAAGCGTTGTTACAAGGAGTAGACCCTTTAAACTTCCCGAAAATGGGAGGCGACAGAGGAGTGCAGCGTCGGACTACAGGGAACAGTAATGACAAATATAAGTATGCCTATTTCGCATAGACATGTAGTGTTATCCTTTGCAATGTGCTTGAGCTTTGTTTGGATATTTGCTGTGGACTCCTCTTATCAAACATGAAATCATTGTACATGTAGAACAAGTAAAACATTTACTGTGCGTGGAAGTGTGTTGTTGTGAGTTTATAATTCATTTTCAGATCTTTTACAAATTTTAATATTACCAGTACAGGGCCCAGAAACAATGAGTTCAAACATGGTAGGTGAATATTATATAGTGAAACATGTTTATAAAGACCGCCAAAGGGAGACAAGAAAAGTGATCCGTACAGGCAGGTGGTTTTTATGTACAGGTTCCTTCAGTGCATGTTTCCATGGGAACCCATTTTCGAGGGGAAACAAAAAAGTGGTCTTTGTAGACAGGTGGTCACTAAAGCAGGTTTGACTATACCATCACTTCCTTACTTTTGACGGATACATCGAATGAGCATCTAGCAGAATTCCTAGATGTATCCATTGCGACACACGTGACTGAGTAGTCACCTTCTACCATCATGCCTTGCTGTACATTGCAGCTGATTGATGGCGATAGTCCTTCGTTATCAGTCGCCGTAACATTCCAGGTGACATCAGCTTCAAATCCTCCTCGTGATGCGTAGACTATGAAGTCAAATGGGCAATACGTAAATGTAGGCGGCTGGAAGTCTGAAGTCAGAGGTAAACGCGAGAAAGAAATCCAAAAGATGAATTAGATTACCGCTCAAAACCATCTGTGCATACAATTCCATTAAATGCTAATCAAATGATACTGGGATGATGGTGTATATAAAACAAAGTTTTCTATCGTGTTTTAAAGCAATGTTATTTACCATAACATATCAAACTAAGGAAAATGCATTAGTTAAACACAGATGTCAAGCGTTAATGGTGTGAAAATGCTTTACATTGATTACCTTAACATAAATAATAATATAGTTTTTCTTGTTGTTTTGTTATGCATGTGAAACACGAGTCCATTGGCCTATTAAACAATATAATCTCTCAAAATGATCAAGCTACAGATTTGTATAGGGTTGAGTAATATGAACAGGATTAGATGTTAAGAAGACCCCAAACCTGTAAACTACAACCCTTTACTCCAGATGTTGAACAGACCTTTGCACGTTGCAAGAGATATGTCACGTGACCACTGGCCATTCCCGAGGCATGAGGTATAAGAAAAGTGTTGAGGGTCTACAGCGTAGCCTCCCGCACCACAGCTGATCAGACATGTCTCTCCGAAAGCAGGCTCGTCTGTGCATTCTGAAGGGGTGACTTGCATTCGAGTTGAGAGAGCCAGTGGTTCGCATCTCGTTGCTGGAAGAGATTATAAAAAAGTAAATTTCTATAACACCATTAAAAAATTAGGTTGATCTTGGTAAGTATGGGATTCTAAGATGATTAGATTTTTCCAAATTTATATCGTAAAAAGATTCTGATTTCAATCTATTGATTCGTATTTTTTTTTAACTCACGTTCAATTGGCCTCCACTGACATCATTATAAAAATTTATCATGCAATGTCAATGTCTTCTGTTAACTGAACGATTGGAAATCAATTAATGGCACTAAATGTCCTTTGGCAAGACATTGATCTACATTTGCCACACTTAACCCAGGTGATGTAAATGGGAACCTGGCAGTAATTAATTCCTTGAAATGCTAGTGTGCCGTAATGGCAACTAAACTGTTGGTGATAATGGTGGAATAATTATTTTTACCCCAATTTATGGAATGATTTTGACAATGATTTATTCCTAATAGATCTAGATAATAGAACACATTCTCAGATTTTATTAAATAATAATTTGTGAGTGTTTGTTTTGCGTGACTGCTAAAGCATGTGTGTGCTACTATGCTAATCAACTAGGGGACCTACGTCTTTAAGTCATAACTGACAGTAATGAGGATTGATGCCTCACAAAAGGGCACTAATAGAGCTGATCGACACGGTTTTGATTCTGGGGGCTCACAGTAACGAGGCAGTTGCTTAGCCAATGAATCATGGCTGAACGCAGCGGGGGCTTGGGTACGTCGCCGCCCCAACAAATACAAAAAACAAAGAAAATGCCATCAATTATCAATAATTCATTGCACTTCCCCCGGTCCCCAACAGGAAAACTTCCTCTGTAGGGCCATGCATTATGGTTCAAGGCATGCCCACATAGAGGACATTTTTATGTTTGGGGTCGGGGCAATATGCAATAAATTATTGATAATTTATTGCATTTTCTTTGTTTTTTGTATTTGTGGGGACGGCGACGTACCCTAGCCCCCGCTGCGTACAGTCTTGATTCATTGGCTAAGCAATGGCTCCGTTACTGTGAGCCCCCAGGATCAAAACTGTATCGATATGCTATATTAGTGCCCTTTTGTGAGGCATTAATCCTCATTACTGTCAGTTATGACTTAGGACGTAGGTCCCCTAGTTGATTAGCATAGTAGCACACACTTGCTTTAGCAGTCACGCAGAACAAACACTCAAAAATTATTATTTAATAAAATCTGAGAATGTATACTATTATCTAGATCTATTAGGAATACATCATTGTGTGAATTATTCCATAAATTGGGGTAAAACAAATTAATCCACCATTTTCACCAACAGTGTAGATTAAATCCAGGATAAAGAATAGGGAGCGCCAGGACAGCCTGACATATATGAGCAGTATACATGAACCTAATGTTGAATATATATTATATCAGTATCACCACTGAGAGGTTAATTACATTTGAAGAAAAAACAACGTCGGGGGACAGTTATCCCGAGTAAATTTAACCGTTAGAACAATCATCAACGGCAACTACACCTCTATGTATTTTTCTGACAAAAAGTAACGTTAGAAGCATGTAAAATATACATGTAGTTATATATAGTTAATTTATCAATGACACATTTAAAAAAGATAGAATTATGTCAATGCCCTTCCTCTTTTTATCAAAATTAGGCCAATATTGAAAAAGGCTGTGATATTTTTAAATTGTGTTCCAGGATAGGTTTTCTTTCAATAAATGTTGGATACTTATGTCAATTATCGACGACTCCTTACCTCCACAAGTAAAGTTGGTGCTAGTCCAGGTTCCGTCGGCCTGACATCTTTTCTGGCTTTCTCCCACGCCGCCATGGCCATATGGGCAGTAGAAGGAGCAGAGAGTACCATAGGGTTCCGTGTCTGGTGGCACGGCACTGCAGCCGGATTTTATGACGAGGGGCGCGGTAGGCAAAACTTCGCAAGTTTTCACTGTTATAGTGTTGGGTGGTTAAAACATCAACAAATATGAAAGAAGGAAAGATGAGAATGTGTTCTTCGGGTAATGAGAAGAGAGGCGGGACCGTGGTTAACAAAGATTCTGAGATTTATTTCCAAAAACCTTGTGCAAGTAATTTAATCGATGTGTACTCGTAAAGTGTGTATTAGGAGGAATATGCATAGAATATTCTGCTGCGAGAGATACTTGTAGTAAGAAAGTATATAATCTGTGTTAAGTTTTTAACAATTATTTATTGAGCATTCGTAGAAGCATAGTTTTGCAGGCTGGGAGGGTTAAATTACTGATATTTTGGCAATACCACACCAAGAAATCAACCAAAGGCAATTTTAACATCCTTGTGCGTCACTCATTTATATTTGCATATAAATGCATTATAGCCCTAGCCATGCAATACGTTCGGGAAATTAAATTTTCTTATCGAACGGTTATGTACGTATAAGGTTTTAGACTGTGCATGATACATTGCAGCAAAACTTGCAATTTACAAGGGTTGATGTTCAGCTTTGGATTATCATATACCTTGGCAGACTGGTTGGGTACCATCCCAGGAAGCAGGAGCCAGACCGTTCTGGAGAACGCACTCACGTGATGGTGAGCCAAGTAACTCATAACCCTCATTACAACTGAAGGTGCACTCCGTGCCGTATACTGGATCGCTGCACTTTGCTATCGAACCCCTCGACGGTGCTTGCAGTCTGGGACATCGGAAAACTGCTCAACATGATCAACGTAGAATGCATTATTAACTTTTCAAAAATACATGCCAAAGATTCATATGAGCTTACGCTTAACCGCAATTGAAGAAAATAAATACACTAGGAATGTATATCTGCTGACAAGAGTAGCTTTAACGACAGTTTCCTCAACATTTTGGCCCTACGTATTTTTACAGCTGAAGTTGGATACAGATATAAATCTTTATTGTATACAATTATTATGTACTAACTTATGTTGTTATTGATATTAATGTTAAGAGAAAAACTTATTGTTTAATTAATACAATGTTATTAACTATGTAATTAAAATATTACACTTGTAAAGAATAATGATTTGAAGTATCAAAATATAACAAAATTCAAGCTCTAACTATGCAGCAATAATTCATTAGCTCTTATTTACAGGATATATCCCATTGTCTTTATTATGAACAGAAGATATCCCATCATCGTTTGTATGGACAGACATCAGATTTACCTTGAACTGTCACAATAACTTCACATTTCTTAGAATTTCCAGACATGTCTGTCGCAATATGAGGAATTGTCGTGGAACCTTCACTGAAATTACTCCCTGGACCTACATGGTCAATAACTCTAAAAGATAGAGAAAAATGTAGACACTCTTCAAGTATTTAAATATTATCTTTTGTTTATTTTTGTTTAATTATTTCCTTTCATACTTTGTAATTATAATCAGCAATTTAAAACAGTATTTTGTATGGGCGGGGTGGGATTAAATCAAAGATGCCAAATTTAAAATGTATGTTAGACATTTAAACCCACAATATATTTATTTACCATCAGCAATTTTCAAGGGAATTGGGGACAATTTCTCACTACCCTCTCATTATCACGATGATCAGATGTTAATATTAGTACTAAATTTTCTAGACAATGAAAAATATAATTAGCAGCATGTACTGTTAATGACTTTCGAACTTCAAACATAAATTTACTCGCCGTGAAATATATACATGGTAAATTGTGTTGCATTTACGCTCTTCAATGGAACTGTTTCATAGTGATCAGTAGCACGTGCAATTTAACCGTGGAAAGTAGCATTTAAGCAGATTTCAAGTAGAAATATATGGAGTAGAGTAATTGCGGAGTTGCTTGGAATTTCTAGAGTAATTACTGTAGTAATGTATGAAATTAAACAGCAATCTTACTTTATAACAGTAACGAATCCAGAGTTATCGGTGGCTGTAATGTCATCATACCACACTGTTGTGTGAGTTGTTTTCTTCTCAGCGTTTTCGTAAACATACATCGGACATGTATTATCAAACACAGGAGACTGCACGTCTGCAATGGTGAAAAGTATGAATTTGTGTCTTAGTACATGTATGGCCTCAAGCAGTTACTTTCGAAAAAATATCTACAAGTGCGTTCTAATTTTCCTTCGACGTTGACTTTCCGGAAATCCGAAGCGTAGCCATCTTAGAATCCAACTATATGTTTTCATCCAAACAAAATACACTGTTGTGTTGAACAAAAATGAAACATAAACTCAGGCATATCTGATTAAATTATAATTGTTGTAGTACAAGAGTAATAGGATTAACCAACCAAGGATGAATTAACCTTTTTTCAAATTTATAAATGTTATCATCTAATAGTTTAAAAAAAATGAAAAATTCCTTCTTTTTTCTAATCAAGCCAGTTTTCTAATGCATTCTCCATTTGTTATTTTTTCTCTCCACAGATTTGATTAATTTACAGACCTTACAATCAGCAATCTATTCATAAACCTCATATTTACCCTCGCATCCGACACTTCTTTGATCGTTCCAACTTCCGTCTGAAGTGCATAACTTGGAATAAGGACCATACATACGGAATCCACTCTCACACTGGAAGTTACATTCAGTGTCAAAGGGCACGGGGTCAGGCTTGGTGCAGATGTCAGGGGTTACACTTCCGTACTTCAGGCTGATATTGGCGGGACAACTCACGATGACTGTGCAAAAGAAAAAATGTATCCCAAGACTAATCAACAAATGAATACAAATTGTAGAATGCTTCAAATTATGCGCTATATACCCGAATGACTTACATGTTTAAACGATTGACATATTATATGCGTAAATAATATCAAGGTATGCTATAGAGCATGTATGGTAAGTACGTAGAGTAGTTTCGGGTATTACAAAAATATACTTTTCTAACATCTTTGTCATGTTTGTCGAGACCAGGCATTGTCATTGGGGTCTCAAGAAATATAGATAGGCCTATAACTATCCAATTATTATTTGAAAATGTTCTTGTTTGGCAACGCCCCCCACCTATGGAGGACAACAAGAGCCAAATTTGTAATACTTACTGTCACAAAGTAGTTCGAAGTTGCTCCAGGTTGCATTGGCTTGGCATGTCCTCATGACGACCTTATCAGTGGTACTTGATCGATAGCCGTCATCACATCCAAATTCGCACTGGTCTTGATACTGTGCTTTTATTGGTGGACAGCCTGTCACGTGACCATTCGTGATATCGGGTACTGCGCATGTCACATCTTGAACAGAACAGAACAGAAAGGAGTAATGCCTTCTTATATTAGCGCCAACCTAATAGCAGATACGCAAGATATATAGCTGGAAGACGGTATTCTCCTGTGTTGATACTAATTGATACGTTTATACTTCTGTTCCTGATATTGTATAGATTTTAGATAGGAAAATTATTAACAAATAGGTACTTTTAATTTTATTTGCTTTACTTGGATACCGTTAATATCATAAAGCAACATCACAATGTTTTCAACAAAATATATGTAACGTGTTATCAACAATTGTGTAATCATGTGCAGACCAAATCAAAGGACAATAATCTCCTTTTAGTAATGTTGATTACCATTTTATGCTTTTTAGACTTTTTTGATGATTTCATTCGTTACTCATAGTACTTACCATCGCATTCTGGCTGCGTTCCGTTCCAGTATCCTACTGTGGTTGTGTCAGACATTCGTAAGCAATATCGCTCAGTTGTAACATTGCCGTCTGATATTATAAACCCAGTGTCACACTTGATCAGACAGCCAGCTCCATAGACTGCGCCACCCTCACATGACCCTTGACCCAAGTAGAGTGTGATGTCACCATTTGAGGGTGGGTAAAGCGGGGCACAGCGAGTAACTTTTAAAAGAAAAGAAGATAGCATACAAAAAACTGGTGGAGTTACAACAGGCTTTACAGGCCATTATTGGTACAACTATTTTATTTCAAAATGTTGCCATTTTGTTTATCGTATATTTCTGAAATCATACAAATGAATTCATTACATGGATTTGATTGCCCTTCCAATTTCCCGCAATCATCAATACTCTTTTTTCAGGCGAATGACAGCATAAAATATCAAATGTTACTTATCTTTATACATTTTCGATATGTAAATATGTTTAAAAAATAACTTATGAATAATTGTATACAAGTATAGCATCTTTTAACTCTTATCCTGCCACAGGACTAATCCCCATTGTGCCAAGCCACAAATCCCCCAGTGCCAAATTTATAACGAGATAATCGGATTAACGCGATGGTACTATCAATAGCGCGTGCAAAACACTAGGCACGATCCAATGGGCATAAACAATAACTGCTATTACAAATACATGCAATCATGCAAGAATCAGAGTAACAGTAGCTTGCTCGCGTGTACAAAGCACTATAACAAAAGCGTGCATGCAGCCTTATGGCAGGCTATGAGTTAAGATAGAGCTTACATTTGTGTTGAATTTTAAAATTTGCATTGACGATTGCAATATAAAAGTAATGCTAGTACCACAAAGAGTTTTACCTTTGACCTCTACTTCAAATGAACATGTAGCCGTGAAGCCAGCCGTGTCAGTCGCACGATAGACAATAGTGTGAGATCCCTCATCGAAAAAAGCGGGCCTGTTGTTTCCAGAGACTGGGACAGAGTCTATTGAGGCTAGAGTCGCCGTTATTTGGATACTGCCATCAGTTGCCTGGTATTATTGAAAACACATGCATTATAATCAATGAAGTTAATCTCATGATTTATCTTAGTTTCCGAGTACGAGTGCCGGAAATAACAAAGCAGTTCAGTAATGTGGGACATCAACTCCCTGCTCAAATGGAGTACTCGATCGAAGTAGACATTTTGCGGGTCGTATGGTCAGATCAGACCTGGGTGAGATCGATAATGAGAGTGATCATTTGAATTTCACCTGTAAGTAGATATATTACTGCTCCTAAAGTCATTTTAGTAAAAAGCTTCATTTTGGGTTGTTTGTCATCATCTATTCTGCAATGATTATCGTTCCATGCTCATTTCTTATGAAAAATGTAACATAAAATTAGAATGGTTTTCAGTACTATGGATGGTAATTTTTACAAAACAACCATAGTAACCAAGGTACTGAAAATAATGGTAACACCGAACCATGGTAACCATGATAACCATGGTTCGGTTAATCATGTATCATGTTAATACAATACAGCCATTGTAATGAAACATGGTTAGAACCATACACACACATGGTATTGAACAATACAACCGCCAAGTACCGCAAGGTACCATGTAATAATTTCGAAGTACCATGGTATACCATGGTCCTTGTTTTTAAAACCATGGCAATACCATGGTACTTGCATGGTAGTACCGTGGTAATAGACGAGTACCATGGTTATACTATGGTTTTACACTTTTACCATGGCTACCATGTTTTTTTAATAAGGGATTAAATAAAATTTCGAATCAACAAGTTCGGGTTGATAGGCTAAGATAGATCTTTACCTTAACAGGTTCCCAGTCTTCCCAGTGTAGTTCAGCTTTTGATTGACCAGCCAGAGCAAATATCACTCGGTCAGGTGGACAATTTAAGATGGGAGGAGTAAGGTCTGTAAGGTAGAATAATGAAAGAAAACACATGAGCATCAAACGGAATATAAAAATGGTCGGTTTTATTGTGAAATGTTTATTAATGCCTGTCTTTTAATATGTCCAACGTTATGTAATAACGTATTAACGCCACAAAATTAATGAGCATTTCATTTTTGTATTTATTGAACAGGTTCGGTAACGTCCTCAGCATATTTCATAAAATAGAGCTAACTTTGCAAGTGAATTTTGTGAGGACAATCATTCCTTATATCTGTAGTTCAAATTTGTCACTTTATGATGCACAGTTTCTTACAGGAGGCGCGATGGCCCAGTGGTAGATTGGTGGTCTCGTAATTTTGAGGTCCCGCGGGTTCGAAACCAAGTTGATGTCATTACAAAGTCATTCGGAGAGGACTTAGAGCTGTCGGCCCCCGATTGTTTACTTACAACCATGCACATGCGTTCTTAGTAATTAGGTAAATCAAACATATTTCTGAAGAAGAAGGATCATAATTCATACTGGCACTAGATAACCCCAAGTTCAATGAATGCTCCAAATTTTTTTGAAAATAGTATGCGATGGGGCCAAAACTTAAATACATTGATGATTGTAGTTTTAAATTTGGACACATAGTTTCTTCCCTTCAGCGGATAGGAACAACCCAAAAATGTAGAATATGCAGCAAACATTCTACAACATTAAACAGCTCACTACATATGACATTTCTAAAGAGACAAAGATAGAATGTCTCTTGTTAATGGATCATAAAGTACATCCTTACCGATGCAGCTTTGAGCAATGCCATCCCATTTTTCGTCAGCCAGACAACGTCTCGATGTTGCACCCTGAGCTGTGTAGCCTGAGTTACACAGAACGTTGCACGTGGTTCCATAATCCTGCTTAGTGGAAACACCCGTCTCTTCTCCGCCAAGTCGGCAGGACTCAATATACCCGTTCACAGTTACCTCGAGGGGATTGCACTGAACAACTGATTGACAGTATGAAGAAGAATAAAGAATGATACATTTCATCACGATCCTATAGCATCATACGTTGAAACATTTCGTTCTTTCATTAGATTAAATTTAATCTTTTAGAGAGATTCTTATTTTGAATGGATAGGTATCATTACTTTATTGATAACTTAAACGAAACGTAAGCTGTGGTCAGTTCTATAACCTTTCGATAACTTTTAACAGCATGAAGAAAACAAAATGAAAGTGATATTTGCCTCATGAAATGGCAAAAATATTTTTACGATGAAGTTTTGAGAGTATATATACATTTACCTGTAGTAGGAATTCATATATTTACTTGAAACATAAAATAGAACTAAAGAAATGAAAAGCAGTACAGAGAGACAAAGAATGAGATTGATCTGTCAGAGATAAAAGTTTTTAAAATCAATGCTCACGGCTGGACGTAACATCCTAGTAGATCCACAATGCTGGTCTAATGGTGTGAACCTTCAAAAAGTTTAAGGCCTACGAAGCCATGAACATTCTTGCAACTGTTTGGAAGGTTAACAAGACAGACATTGTCGGTCTACTGGGCTGTCGGTCTCGTTTTCCGTCAGTCTCGTGGACTTTCAATCTTCCAGAGAGAATAATTAGTCAAGAATATACCCCATTGCTGATTCCAGGAACTTTCTTTTTTTACCTGTACATGAGACCGGTCCGCCACTCCACACTCCATTACCGTCTCCATCATCCATGCAAGCTCGAGATACCGACCCAGAAGGGAGATAGCCGGTATCACAAGTAAATCGACAGACTGTTCCATATTTCTCAAACACATTCGGACATCCACTCTTTATGCCGTGCAGAGGTTTGGGTATATCGCTGTTGATACACGTCACAACTGATGAAAAAATTGCAGAGATTAAAGAAAGAACAAATTATCACCAGTCGGCAAAATGGGACTGAACTTTAGATGTTTGTCAAGAATGAATGAGGCTGTAAACTCGACGTACAGCTGTTCTCCAGGGTCCTAAAGATTTCAAATTCATTAAGCTGCTTCTGTTGAATATGATCATTATTGTATGATTATTGTAGAAATGAGGACACTTACCCCATTGCAAAATTACAACGCAGATAAAAAAAAAAGCTATAGAAGAGACTGACATTGAAGAAAGACAAATTGGGAACGAAACCCTGAGAAAACTTACTACCTCATATTAATTGGCTTTATGCATGATATTCTAAACATTTACTATAAACTGGTCTCAAGGGCTTCGTCTCTTCTCGATAGTTAAGTAACAGATTCATAATTACCTTCACAAACAGGAGCCTGCTGTTGCCACTCCCCGTCTATCCCACAAGTCAAGACTTCAGATCCATACAGGTTGAACCCATTACCGCATTCGAACTCGCACTCCTCTCCCAGCTCCAATTGATTCTGCTCTTCGCATGTCGTGTTGATAACGTAGTGCATTCCACTGGCCAATGGAGGTACTTCGCACATCTCAACTGTTGTCAGAGGTTTATTGGTAAAATTTGGACAATTTTAATCAATAAAATGAATATTTAGGTATAGGCCTAATCGTGATGTATTATAGAAGGTTTCAAGGAAGAAAAATATATTTGGTTGCATTTTGATAGCGGATCATAAACAGGTCTAATGCAATGCACTTGTTTTTTCATCGTACCCTCATTCGCTGGCATTGAATGATAAACGCAAGTATGCATTTAATTTCAATAATCTATTTCATTTAATATGGCAGTAACAATGCAAGTAATATGTTAACGACTCGAAAATCAACGCCGTGTAGCCTACCTGTGCAAGTAGGTGGAGTACCCACCCACAAGGCCTCTTCACTTCCGGGTTGAGCTGCGCATCTCAAGACATTGTTATCGATGAAGTACCCAGCGTTACACATGAAGTAGCAGGATGATCCGTAACTCCGTTGACATGGTTGACCGCCAACGTAATCTCCATTGTCGGGGGCATTAACCACTGGGCACTCCAAAACTGGAATTATGACAAAGGGTAAATCTACAATGATATCTACTTGGTTTAAGTGTAGTTCGATTATAGTTTGTCGTACTTCAAAATTGTATGTTGAAATGTAGTGAAAAGCTAGAGAACTAAGTTCTCAATCACGTTCTTTGACTATATGTTCCCAGATGAACATATAATGAGAACCATTCTTCTGCAATAATGTATCACCTGAAGTGCTTCAGATTGGCGTCTTCTGGTTATGTAGACTTGACCACGAGCAGAGGGCGAAGCAAGAAGACGTTCAATACTTTGTGCCTTTTCATATGTCAGATTGCACTACATCATGTGACTCCAATATGAACTAACTAGGCGAAAAGCCTCCATTTATTTTGCTAATTTGGAAGCAGACAGACCCTCTCTCGTTACCAAGTAATACTTACTCTGACACTGTGGTGCGCTATCTGTCCAATTTCCAGCATTTCCAATTTTCGCGCATTTTATGGAGTCGGTCCCACCGAGACGATACCCAGTCGAACAGGTAAACGTACACACAGAACCTCGCATGTTTCCATTTGGACAGCTGACTGTAAGACCCGGGTAGATCGGAATGCTTCGACACATAATCACTGCGTGGAAAAGGAATCGTCGTGCCGTATTGTAAAATGTAAACGATTCATTGAAAAGAATTATTGTTTAAAGTCTATCTGCACTAGTTTGACCAGGAAGGATTTAGACCTCCCTGCGTAGTCACTGACAGGTGGTTATCTCATCAAATCAGCTCTCAATTGACATAAGAAAAAGGGGATAATGGGGGACCGACGGGTAGCACATATAGGCATTGTTCTCTATATAGAGGGCGCAAGGAGCTACAAGTAGTGCAATCCTGCTTTTGTGAAGTTTAAATTGATAATAATGAATAGGGGAAAAAGGTGTTATAGCTTATACACATCTGAGAGACTATAGTCAGCGGAGCGATTCATAGAGCAAACATAATGGGTGTGACATTGACTCTGCAGTAAGAATAAATAGTATTCATCACCTACAGTGAACCATAGGACCATGGGTGTCGATCCTTACGTAATACCTATTCATCAGGGGGGGGGGGGGGGATGAATGAATAGATCATCCCCCTGATGAATAGGTATCAGTTACAGATCGACACCCATGCATAGGACTCATATAAGAATAGGTGTAAAAAAGTCTAAATGATAGAGACCTGCCAAATATCAGCAATTGATTTACATTAGGCTGTAACACACATACGCACATACACATCCTTGCACACTTGCAGCAAATGCGCGAAAACGACAAATGAGAATTATTGAAATTAACTGAGCTTAGGAAGTACCTTGCACGGTGATGGTAAAGATGCAAGTAGAGGACATGCCAGAGCTATCAGATACCGTGTACTTAATGACGTGGTAGTTCTGGCTGAATCTTGAACCAGACGGATAACCCTGTGTTTGGACAGGAATCACAGTCTCGCCAGAATTGTCGGATGCGGTTGGATCCACCCAGGTCACTACTGCTGTATCCTCTAGCTCGTCTGCGTAAATGATCTGCGACGGAGGGCAGGAGATGAACACTGGCGGCGATGAATCTAGAAAGTTATGATTGTGCGGAGTTAAAATCAAAGGAAAGAAATGTGGTAATGCAGTGTGTCCCAGAAAAAAACGAAGCCGAATTTCGTGCCAGGAATTTTCTATAAAATTAAAATCCCGTTCTTTTATTTCTTGGACACACTGTATACACAACCAGTCGCACAGACGTACAATTTTTTTTTACACACCACACCCCCACAAACACACTCACACATAGTGAATGATAGTTAATTGACCATCATGAACTCTACATTCAGCATTTTAAGGAGCCGTGACGTGACGTATCCTTTTCTACGCCCAGCATATAAGTACAAGTTGCGGGAAGTCTGCGGCAAGCGTGGCTCGAATACACATTTCGGTCCCTTACTTCCCCCCGTCGTAAAAAGAGATCAGCCCCCCCCCCGTTTCTCAATACATTGACACAACAATGATTAAGGACCATTTTTCTTGTATCCGGACACCTACCCCCTGGACATCCAGCCCCCCGGATAACCACCCCCAGTCAACTACCCCTACACACAGAGAACTAAAAGGTGTTAATGGGGAGTAAAACGAAATTGGAAAAATAGGGCGCCCCCTATTACACCTTTTAGGGAGTAAAACACGGAAATACGCAAGGGTGTATATTTAAGGGATGTAATTTTACACCCTATTTTAGTCAGACGAGCTCTGATTGGTCAGTGCATATGCGCATGCGCTACAGAATGTCGAGTTATATGTCGACAGGCTTTAATGCTTACCTAAACAACAGTTAGTGTGAACTCAACACAAGTGCAGACTGTAAGAACTAACTTATGGCTGGACGTATCAGTTCAAATGTAATGGAATTACCTAAATACACAATCCTGCCTTACCGTTGTTGTTGTTGCGAATAAAGGCGTTTCCACCGTCATTCGATGATTTCCGCCAAAAGTGTTGTTTTACTAAGTAGTACCGAATATCTTCCCTTTACTTACACGTATAAGAAGACAATTATGTACTACTTACTAAAACAACACTTCTGCTAATTTCATTAAATTATCAAATATAACCTTCGGTACAACCCCTTATTCTTGATCGGATAACTTTCACACAAATAATATGCCCAAATGATAAACATGATAATTCCCTACATCACTAAAATATGTAAATTATGCTAATTTTACTTCATTTGGCAGTACCTATATCGACACGATGCGCCATTGTTGTAGCGCATGCACATATGCAATGATCAATCAGAGCTCGTTTGACTAAAATAGGGTGTAAAATTACATCCCTCAAATATACAACCTTGCGTATTTCCGTGTTTTACTCCCTAAAAGGTGTAATAGGGGGCGCCCTATTTTTCCAATTTCATTTTACTCCCCAAGAACACCTTTTATTTCTCTGTGTGTAGGGTGGTTATCCGGGGGTGGATGTCCAGGGGGTAGGTGTCCTAGAACCCATTTTTCTATATTAACCCTTTAAACTGTGGCACAATCACTTGGGGTGATGTGTGTATTTGCACTTTGTAGTTCTAAGCAAAAGGCGCCATATTCCTTTTGGATGCATGAGACCGCATTGGATTGGATAACTACCCCTTCAAAAAGGCCTTTGATGAAATGTGCCTCGACATCAATTTGAATACAGTTTATGGCAGCGTGAAGAATCGCAGGTGCGCACCAACGACAGAAAATATACCCGACATATGTCTTGTCAAAGTTCAAAGGTCCCGCTTACCTTCGCACGCTGGTTGAGTTCCAGTCCATCCTGTCGAGGTACAAACACGCTCCCGGCTCTGACTGGGTGGTATCGCGTACCCAGCTTGACACGAGTAAGTACACACACTCTGCTGGTTATTACCATTTGTACAGGTGACGTCACCGTCAGGTGGCGCCTTTATGATGTCGGGGCATGATAACACTATCAAATTAAAACAAGTTGTTTATGAGCAGTTTTATTTTTATTTAGATGAAATGTAATGCTGACTGTTATTGTCATTTGTTCATAATCAAATTTAAGTGTGTGAAACAAGTATTGAGCATATAGTCGAAGCATCTGCTGACAGCATTGCCTAGAATTTAAAATACTACTTTTGAACTTTGGAAACAACTGAACAGTGTTTACATTTCCGTAGGTCTACATGTTTGGTACCGACAGCATGGAAATGTATTAAAATGGGATCCCCTCAAAGATGCAAAAGTTTCTTTTGCCAAGTCCTATATACTTGTGTGGATGGCAAAATAAATGTGGAGCAAAATGTGAAGCGCGCTAACTGCAATGAAAAGTAACTGGACCTATATTAAATATCCTATTGTTCGGAATAGCTTACAAAATATATAAGAAAACTTTGAAATCTCCTCTGTTTAAATGTTTCCTCCTTAAAGCCCCAGTCCCATATAAAGCCGGACCAGCACGGACGAGCACGGACCACTCCGGACCATCCCGGACCATGGTCTGGGGGTGATCCGGGATGGTCCGGGATGTTTTGTTAAAAAAATCGCAACCGCCGACCGTCTCCCCGGACCCAACACGGTACCACTACGGACCGCCCCGGACCGTCCGGGCATAGCCCCGGCAGCAGTACAGATCATTCCAGACCCAGCACGGAGCCGCCACGGACCGTCCCGGACCACCCCGGTGCCAACACGTTGCCAACACGGATGACACCGGACCATCCCGGTGCCAACACGGATCATCCCGGAACGCCCCGGTGCCAACACGGATCGCCCCGGCAGAGCCCCGGATCATCACGGACCACCCCGGACCATCCCGGACCGCCCGTGGTGGGTATATTTAAGCTGGGTATTTTCATGCATTAAATCATTCTGCTCTGACTTTTCAAGTGACAACAAGTATCTGCAATTTGCTAGAAGAGAAATAAAAAAGATGCCTCCCAGGTCAATAACTCACTCCCGGACTGCCACGGATCAACACAGACCGCCCCGGCGCCACTACGGATGACCCCGGACCCAGCACGGTGGCTACACGGATCACCCCGGATCAAACTATTGTCCCGGACCGTCCCGGACCACCCCGGCAGTTTTTGACCGTCAAAAACATCCGGGGTCGACTCCCGGACCGCCCAGGACCACCCCGGTGCCAACACGGTGCCAACACGGTGTCAACCATCCGGATCACCCCGGATGGGGTCCGGGATGGTCCGGGACGGTCCGGGACGTATATGGGACTGTAGCTTTACCTTTTCAATTCCACAACATCAACATGCAAGGTATAGACAGTTAATTATACCTGTGAGTGTGACATACCTTCACAAGAAGCCTCTTCACCAGACCACTGTTCATTGCTCCTACATTCACGAAGCACTACTTTGCTCAAGTCGTAACCATCCATACAATAATAACGGCAAGCAGAGCCAACGGCTTTACCATTATTGCATATTACATAACCGTTGTTCGGATCTAAGAGAGCACTACATCTCAGGACTGTTTAAAATGAACAATGAAATATGAACATTTTTTCTTCAAGAATGACGACTTGATGTGACATTCATTCTCATTATTTAAGCTGTTACGATTATATTTCTAATCCTCATCATTAAAATAAACATTTTATATATGTATACAGTTCAAGAAGATGATTATCATGATATTACTCTACATAGTGTCAACAGGAAATATAAATTCTACTTGGATTTAAATGAATGGTTACCATATATGTTAGTCATGCCCTAAATGAATGTCAAAATCTGTTAAAGAGACTTGGTAACATTGCTCAGATGAGAGATAGTGGTGATAAGGTAGTGATTTCAATGCTAGATGTACAATAAAAGAAAATCTGAAAATTTGAGTGAAAACGGACCATTATTAATGATACAAATTTGGAAAAACTGATCTGATCGATTCCTTAATTCTCCCAACTATATTATCACAATTTAATTCGATTTAGGTGAATGTACATGTTCACAAAGCAATAAATTGGCTCTACATACCATTCCAGACATTTAAGTGTTGACAGATTTTTAATAGCCTGTGTCTTTTTTTCATGGAAAAACGGTTGGGAAAATTAAAGGGCAACATTCTCTAAAAAAATCGCCGCCCAATAACTTTCCTGAAGTGTCAGCTGCTGCAAGTTTACTAGTTGTAAAGCATTATTACCGTAAACATTCACATGGACACGGCACACTTTTTGGTTTCCAGCACTATCACGTGTAGTATATGTAGTGTAATGGTCTCCTTCGCTAAAAACAGAACCGGGATGGGGTCCATGAATGCTGACAAGAGAGAGAGAGAGAGACAGAGAGAGAAAGATTCAAGTGTATCATGATTACGCAAACTCTGTGAATATAAATCTTTATATAACAAAGGGCATTTCTTAAAGCATTTCATTGGCTGAGAAAATATCACGTGACTGTCAACAATTTGTGCACGAGCGTGCAATTTGATAGCCTTAATACAACCCACTCTTATATAGGTCCTTATCAAGTAATTGGTTAAACGTGGTCACGTGTGATTCATTTCAAATGTGCAATAGTTCCTTGTACTACCAAATGATTGGTACCTACTCGATACGCAGCAGTGTGTGAAGAGGTTAGTGTGCTTGTACTGTGTGTGGGCCTATACTTGATTAGAACTGATCGTAAACGCGTAGAGAGGGAAATACGCTTATCTCTGTATGCATACTTGGTACTTGGTACTTGGTTGGGTAATCCCTTTGGCAGCTCACTCAGGAAGCTATACTGGGATGGTAGGTGAGGCGAGTAACTACAAGGAGTGTCGTAAATTTCAGGTATGGTGTGTGGACAAAGCACTCGTTAATTTACAGTAAAATATGCTAAGTCCAGTGTAAGTAAAAACCAAGCTAGTAAGCTTATATGATTTGGGAACCAACATGGGGCTGCATCATTCTGATGGAGGGTAAAGCAGCCTCCTTAAAGTAGGTTATTCATGTTGCATTGACTGCTGAGCCTTGCAGATGATTCCAGATCCTTATTGCTCTTGGGTAGTATGAGAACTTGAAGGAGTCAATAGTTGCAACAGGAATTACATACTTCAGGTTGTGGTCGTGTCTTCCGAAGTATGTAGCAGGGGTGACAATAGTTGGTGCAGGTATGGAGACAAGACGGTAATGGATCTTGTAGAGAAGGGTGCATTGGTCAAGGATTCGACGTGTGTATAGCGTGTCCCACCCTAGAGCTGCCACAAGAGCCGATGGTGATGTGGTGTATCGGTAGTCACGGTACACGAAGCGAGCCGCTGTTCTTTGTACTTGCTCTAGCATTTTTGTGACTGTGACGCTGTGTGGGTTCCAAGCCTCAGAGGCATACTCCAATTGGGGGCGCACTAAGGCTGTGTAGGCCCTGGACTTTACATCCCTGGTACAGGGTGAGAGAGTCCTGCGAAGAAGACCTAGTCTACGACTTGCTTGATGCCGGATGGTTTGGATTGCTAATTATTAAACTTGGGATTTCTTTCTCAGCGGTAATGACACGTAACAACCTTGAAATGAATTCATTTTACATCAAATATCAAGGATCTAGGAGTTTCGTTGTTCAAAACAAATACATGTTTTCATTCGTTCATTACAAGATATATCCGCTCTTGTTGAAGCTGTTTATGTACTTATCGTAGATAGGTGCTTACACGTGAGGTAAATTCCCCCTCCACCCTGATAATAAAGGGGTTTTATTGCTGGTAATTGCCCCCCTCATTGACCTCATTAAGTATATGTATGACCAGACCAAATGTGCTGTCATCGTAAATGGTAAAGTTACGGAATGGTTCCAAGTTATGACAGGCGTCAGGCAAGGCTGTCTTCTTTCACCAAGTCTGTTCAACATCTTCCTAGAGTTTGTGATGGCAGATGTCAAAAACCTAGACAGTGGAGTTCAGATGGGTGCCATACGCATTAACAACATCTGCTATGCAGATGACACCACTCTACTCGAACTCATCTATGACAAACTCCAAATATCAACAAACAAGCTGGTGGAAGTCTGTGGTAAATGGGGCATGAAAATCAACACAGCTAGATGCAGAATCATGACAATCGCTGATGAGGAGACTTCAATAGATGGCAACCCTATAGAGAAGGTAAAAGACTTTGTCTTCCTTGGAAGTGTAGTCCCCTCGGTTACCAAAGATGTCAAGAGACGCACAAATCTAGCTTCCTGGGCATTTGGCAGACTGAGAAACAATATATGGACCAACCAAGATATTTCAAGAGCCCTGAAGGTCAGGATTTACAAAGCCCTCATTCGTCCTATAGCCACCTACGGGTCAGAAACGTGGACGCTAAGGAAAACTGACCGGGATAAATTGGAGACCTTTGAGATGAGATGTCTGCGGACAATAGCAGGAGTCCATCTTCTAGATAAAATTAGAAGCGTAGACATCAGAAAGTCATTGAAAATCTCCAAGACAATAATGAGGAAATATCCAGCCGCCGCCTGAAATGGTTTGGACATGTGGTACGTATGCCACAGGAACGCCTACCAATACAAGTCCACACCAATGACTTTACTGTGCCACGGCCACCAGAACGTCCTCCCCTGAGGTGGAAAGACCAAATCCGCCAAGACTCTGGATTAAGCCTGGAGGCTGCCCAACACCAAGCCAAGGACAGAAGTGAATGGAGGCAGACCATCCGTAGGAGCGCAGGGGGACACTCCGTCCTGTGCACTTAAGTCAAGTCAAGTAAGTCAATTGTCCCCCCAGAGGGGGGGGGGGGGGGGGGGGGGGGGGGGGGGGGGGGGGGGGGGGGGGGGGGGGGGAAATGATTGTCCAGGGGGGGGGTAATTTTCAGGGGGGTTTATAACAGTCCTCGAGATTGGGCCATTGTCCACGGGGGTAATTGTCCTCGGGGGTAATTGTCCTCGGGGGTAATTTTCCAGGGGGAATTTAAAAATCTAAAACCAGTTCATCACCCGCGTTCCAATAAAGGTCCAATATTGGCTTGTAAGTTTACTGTTGTCATTTTATGGTGATAATTCATTAATTCTAGCTGTAAAAAAGTCTTTGCTTTTTGGGAAGGAAACTCAGATAAAACCTTTCTGAAAATGTTTTGTAAAGACATATTGTGTAAAAGAGAAAAACTCCCAATTAACTCCATTATTTTCTTTACGATGCAATTGCAAATGAAAAAACAAAAAGAATACACCCCAAACAACATACCATTAACAACAACATGAAGAGGAGCGATAGATAAGTGGTAGATCAGTGGTCTCGAATCCGGGAGGTCCCAGGCTCGAAACCGATTTGATGCGCTAGTGCCATTTGATAAGGCATTAATCTTCAAAACCAGGTCAATCGGGTCGGGGTTAAAGCTGTCGGTCCCCTTGTTGCTAACTTATAACCACATACATGCCTTTTCAACAGTCGGGCAAGCCAACCACCGTCTTCAAACTACAGCATCGTCACTTACCTAACTTCAGTTTTGTGTTTCTTTTGGAAGTCATCATAACCAATCGGTTCCTTCCATGAGATCCCTGTTCTTGTTGGTGTTGGTGAAGTAAACGTCCCAAGGTCACCTGGACACTGGTCGAAATATGGCGGTTTCTTATCTATAGTAAATGGAAAATATACGAAAAGGGGAAGATTAATTGTGTGGGCATACGGGCACTCGTTACACGTAAATATTCTTGTGAGCTATTATAATACATGAACTGATCACCAGGACTTTGAATGACAAGTATTGTAATTTCTTAAACATCATTGATACTTTTCACTTTTCTGTGCCTATACACACATGCATATAGCGTCATACAGATATACGGTGCGTCCCAGAAAATACGAAACCGAGAATTATCGATATTTTATCATAACTTAATCACAATCATAATTGGTAAATGACACATATTTGTAAAGCTTAGATCCTCTTCCTTCATTTGATGCCACTCATATGAAGCATATTTCACGCATGGGTGATTAAAAACATTTTGAAGAAAGGGTACCAAAAAGTCATTTTGCGAACGCTATCTGAATTTCAAAGAGAAAATCACATTTCTGGAAAGTTCATTTCTGCCCTTTCATATGACACCTCTATCAGGAAACATAAGCCAATGCTATGTCCCTTTTGCAGCCAACAACAAGTTTTGTAGAACTTTGCAGGAATTATGAATAGGCCTATGTCATGTATGTCCTATCTGTGAAATTTAAACGTTAGCAGTGTCCTAATATTATTTTTTTTTCAATTCAGGTTTTATTGTAAATAAAAACATACTGAATAAAAAGTCCGGAGACTCATACAATTCAGTTTACAAATTATAAATACATACAGGAATAAAGAAATCAATACTTTTAGCAATCTTTTTTATATTAATTACTGATTCTAATGAACTAAACAACTAATTTCAAACAATCGTGAAATAATACTTGATCTAATTGTGCAATTAAAACGTTTAAATAGTAAAATAAGTTGTTACCATTTTCTAAATGTCATATGCAATTTTGTAATACATTTTCAAATTAATAAGTAGTCTTTTTTAAACCTAGTTAACATTTCTTTAAAAATATATTTATATATAGATGATTATCCGAGAGATATGTATATGTATATTTGTAAAGCGCTTAGAGACATTTGTATTAAGCGCTATATAAAAATTAAATATTATTATTATTATTATATGATAACTCAAAATATACAATTTATGTTTACTTACAGAGTATAGTCCTATCATTTTACAGGTAGTATGAAATCTGATTTAATCTGATTAATTGGCATGAAAAAAATTAATTAATTACATCTTGGTCACATATGGTCATAATATTGAGTAAAAATATCTATAGATTTGAATTCAGGATTCGTGTGAAGTGGGGAATGGGAGACTGCCTGTAACGTTCTGTTCTCATTTTGGGGGTATTGAGCTGGAGAGAGTTGCGGAGAGTGCGTCGTGAGATAGTTTGTCTGGTTTCAGGTAAAAGATGGCGGTGGCGGTCTGAGATCAGCAGGGACTTAGCAAACTTAGCAATATTCAAATTAGCAATATTCAAATTATGCAAGGAAACCCGTTTACTTGCTAGACTTCACTGTCAGACTATTGAGTGACTGAATGGCTTTTTTCTTCTTTGGTAATAACATACATAAAATGAGCTGTAAAGAGTACACGAGCATTTGTCTACATCAATAACCCACTTCTTGTAATGGTCAAAATCAAACTGATTGAATCTTTGCGCAGCATAAAACGTACTACCATTCGGTACAATGGTCTGAAAATCAGACTATTACTTACTGGCTCTATAGGTCTTAAGTCAATTCGACAACTAATATTCGTTATTTTCCCAATTAAAGACATTTCAAGCCCCCCTTTTTTTATAGGGAAGTTCTAAATTAGTAATATCTTTCAAATGCCGTTGGAATTTAACCTTTTCATTTATTTGGCCTCCAAATGGGACATAGATACCTTTAAGTAATGCTTGCATTTCCATAAATTGTATTATGCCTAGGTCACATTTCCCGCGGCGGCCGAGCGGTCTAAAATATCTACGGCCAATAGCAAATAAAGGAGCCGCAGTATTCCCACGGTCACATATGGTAGCGTTCACATTTGTTAGGGTAGCCGCAAGGCGTATTTTGAATTTGTGGAGACAGAAAATCTGCGACTGCCGCACGGCCTTTGAAGTGATGACGCACGGTCGTCTTAGGGCGTCCTTGCAGCGGCCGTAGCTTTTTGACAAATACTAAGGCAGACGCAAGGTAGCCGCAAGGTGCCCGCAAGGCGGCCGAAGGGGGAACCATACGGCGACCGTGCGGCCAGACTGATGTTACCGCTTCAACTCTGGAGTATATACAACGCAACGCTACCGTACGTCCGACGTACGGTCGCCGTGGAACCGCTCTATGGCATGGCTATACGGCGTGTCTAATCGCTACAGCGAATAAGTTATAAGTTATAAGTCCGCGTTATAATCCCACGGTGACCCGTACGGCATGTAAAGATAGGGATACGCCCTAGGGTGACCCTGGCCTGAGACTTGTTGGAAAGTCGTGTATTATAATTATGAATTTGACTATTATATTGAAAGAGGTCTGAAAAGAGGGCAGGTAACAACTTGTTTTTATATTTGTACATGAACGTTGCGATCTCTTGCTTATTTATATCATATATATTTAATAACGATAGCTTCTTAAACTAAGGTGCGGATGGTGCTAGATAATGAGAAATGGTAACTATTCTTAAACATTTCTTTTGAACTTTAAATAGTGAGTCTAATTCAGTTTGTGTTGCATAAGTAGCCCATACAATATTACAATATTTCAAATAAGGGAAAATAATGGAATGA